AAATTCTGAGACTTAGAAATTCATCGACACACATCGCAACGTCGTACAATTCTGGTCAGATGACTTATCATTTATATGAGCTCTCATGCGTGTAGTTCAAACTTTGAATTTTCAAATTGAAACGAATGTCGAATAGAATTGGACCACAAATTCCTGCTTATTTACTTTCAAATTTTAAAGAAAATCCTAGCGATGAGGATAACGACGACTTCGAATCTTCTCCAGACACTAGTCCTAAACTATTTACAGGTATTTCTGGGAAAAAACCGAGAACTCACATGTGATTTCCTTACCATCATGAGTTTCTTCAAATTTAGAGCAAGGTGGAAATTTAACAGAGGAAGAAGGCAATTTGGATGATTATATGCCAGAGTTACCACCCGATATCATTGCAGAAAGACAGAGAAAAAAAATAGAACAAGAAAATAATTTAAATAAAGGCGATCTTGATAAGCGGAAAATAGGACCGGCAATGCCTCCATTTGTTGGATATGATGAACATCAAACATCCGAGGAGGAAGAAGATATTGTGGGACCTATATTGCCGCGAGATTTTAACGAGAAGAATGACGAGCTTGCTTTTCAAAGCGCAATTCAGGAGTTTGAAGAAAGGGCGGATAAGATGCGTCAGAAACTTGAAGTAAATTTCATCAAAACTATTATCATGTAATATGAAATTTTAAATGTGAACCGATGATTTATTTAGTCTGGAGAGGAAGGAGAAAATCGTTTGCAACGTGGAGAATGGATGCTTGTTCCACCACCAGAAGCAAAATTTTTAGGTCAGTACTTTTTTTTCTTGAAAAGAACATATCATATTAGAAGTTCTATTAAGTTGTTTTTCCTGAACATTAGAATCACCAAACAATATGCGATCTCGTCAATTTAAACAAAAATCGCATGATCCGAAATTGGAAGAAAATTCTTTGTGGACGGAGTCACCTGCCGAACGAGAAAAACGATTAACAAAAAATGCATGCATTCATTCTTCATATAAATTCATATTATCACCAAAATATTGCAAACGCTCATTCATCTGCTAAACGATTTTAGGCTACACCTAACCGAAAACGTAAACAAGAGGAGGAAGAAATTAAATACACTGAAGCGGATTTAGAAAACGCTAAAAGGGTTAAAGAATATAATGTACATTTCAACAAAAATTTTTTTATTTCTTTCTTTATCATGATCCAAAAAAACCCAATTTCTTTTTTTGTTATTTCCTTTATATGAATATATATTTTTTTCAGGAACTGTATCGTCCAAAATCACTTCTAGAAGAGCATGCTGAAAAGTATACGAAATCCAAAAAATGGAAAGAAGATAGTGTTAGCAACCGACCATTTGAACGCGAGAAAGATGTATTGGGTGCACGTCGTATGGATAGCCGAAAGCGACAGGAAATTTTGGATAATGCTAAGGAGCTATCTTCCAAGTTTGGCCACGGAAGAAGCGGAACATTTTTATAATCATTATTTTTATTATTATTTTTTTTTTTCGAAGGGTAACTATCATTAAAATCTTGTTAGCATAAAACGTTAAACAATTATTTATTCAGGCTTTTAATTAACTCGATATTTTTTTCCAAGGTCCTTTTTTGTTCAATCAAATCTTCCAGTCGTTTTCTATGGAAAATGTTGGAGTGAAAGGTAAGCCGGAATATTCAAAGCGGGCCGCAGGTTAAGATTATCCAGAAGAAAATTTAGTAGAACATCACAAACCTATCTATTTCCTTAATCTTTTCAGGTACCTTCTCCAAATAAGAAGTATTGCCGATTATCTCCCTCAACATTTCCAAATCATTCGTAACCTTTTCAACTTTTTTAGTTAATTTTTGCAGTTTTTCTGATTCTGTATCTGATTCCTTAGCTTTCTTTTTCGTAAAATCTGTGGCACTCGATTCTAAAGCAGATTGAATTTCTACAATTGCACTCATAGGAATGCCAACCTTTAAATTTGGAGTCACTAAACTGACTTCTGAATTTCCAAGCAATCGAGATGTTTGCTCATCCTGGTATTTTTCGAAAAACCAAATGATTATAGCAATCAAACCCGTATAACGGGAATCTCTTTCAAACATTGTAAACAAATTGACCTGTGATTTTCCAAGAGAGATCACACGAATTTCCGACGCTTTAATAAAGTTCCTTATATCAGCGACGAATCTTACAATGGGGCTTTGTTCATCCAAAAATTTCGGGTCATCAATCCATAATATGAAAGGTAGTTGTATTCCTTGGGGTATATCATTATTCTGACGAAGTGACCTTGAAGCGTGGATCACACTTAGAATGGTCTATGTGAAAAAAAATATAAGAATAGTTGAATGAATGGAAGTTTGAAATAATAGTACAAAGATTTTACCGTACCTTCATATCTTCCTCGACTTTGTCGTCCTTAAATCTTTCAAAATCTTCTTTCCTTGGATACTTTGTAATAATAATCGAATCTGGAACTTTTGAAATCATATGGTTGGATCTTTCAACGAGAGTTTGCCACAGTTCCTAAACATCGTTGTGTTCGTTTCCTCATGCAAATCATTAGATGTCAATGCAAACGACTTGAGTTCAATAGTAAAATTACCTCTGTGATGAACGGCATAAAAGGATGCAAAAGTCTTAAGGAAGAATTTAAACATATTTCTAGGACTTCCAAAGTACTTTTTTGAGTCTATCAAGATAATTACATGAATAATAATTAAGACAAAAAAATAAAAATGTTACTGAAAACATACCTTAATGCCGGAGCCTTCAGAACTTCCATACAAAACAGGTTTAATGAATTCCAAAAATATCCCGCACAAATCTTCAATAATGAAGCTTCGAATGGCTTCGGTCGCTTCATATAATTCCAAATTTTCGAATCCTTCCTGGCATTTAGCCACCGTGATGGATAATCTTGATAATATGTACTGATCGATCAATGTCAGATTGCTGAGGGATGATGACAAAAACTCAGTAGGATTGATGAAATCAGCAGAAATGTGTGTGGTGTGATGTAGAGCGTCAAATCTTTCGTTCGAAAATCTGAAGAGGTTCCATATTTTGTTGCAAAAATGTTGTATCGTTTTTATATACGTGATATCCATATTAATCTGACGTGTCTTATCGGGACATTATATACAGGATCAAGTTTTAAGATGGTCGGAAAAAACTAAAAAACAACATGATGGGCTTATTGCCAGTTTAGTACCTGACGAGTATAGTTGACCAACCCGAATCTTAAAGCATCAGTGCCACATGGTTTGATTCCTTGGGGGAATTCACGAGTCAAGTTTTTAATACTTTTTTCTATTTCGGATTTTGACAGGTTACTTTTAGATACATTCAACCGTAATTCATTCAATGTTACCCCATCAATCACATGCAGAGGATCAATCACGTTTCCCAGAGATTTTGACATTTTTCTCCCTTGAGCATCTCTGATCTGTTTGAAAAAGGGCATATATATGTGAGAATGAAGGATTGAAGGTTACTAGATAGTTTTTGCTCTCCGGATAGGGACAGACGTACCATTGCATGCAACAAAATTTCCTTGAAAGGTGGCCTCCCCGAAAAATAAGTACACAACATGTTCATTCTGGCTACCCAGAAAAATAAAATATCAAATCCAGTTTCTATGATGTTCGTTGGATAATTCACCTTTATAATGTAAAATAATAATGAATAATCAGCAATGTAGTGTTCATATATACATTAAAATATATATCTGTCTATTCTTGTTCCTACGGGAATGTTGTGATCTCCACACCAATTCAGAGAAGACAATGGTAACAAGGCTGATGAGAACCATGTATCGAGTACATCTTCATCCTTTGGACAAATTTTGCAAAACGGTCTTAAAAATAATGAAAGATTTTACAATAAACAATAAGATCAAGGTAAAATTAATATACTTGTTTTAATGCGTAATTGGGTATCGGCGATAAGTTGAGTTTAAGCAAATACTCTTTTGCAAGTTTATCAGCTTCAGACATGGAATCTGCGGCAAACCATATTTCTTCGGCTGCAATCCGATTCAGTGGAAAAAAAATTTTTTTAAAATAAAATTAAATCATAACATGGAAAGCGATCGATACCATATATTTACCAGATTTTTGGCCTTCGTAAGTTAGATTATATGCCGGAATCTGATGTCCCCACCATAGTTGTCGTGATATACACCAATCCTGAATATTTCCTACAAACAATAATATCATCATTTACAAGAATAAATGATATTTTTTTCATGCCTAGATAGATTTCTTCGGTTATCCTAATTTACTAACCCAGCCATCTATTCCATTCATCAACATGATAGCTTGGTTTTATCACGATTTCTCCTTTCTCAACGTCTTCGAGAGCTCTTAATTGCATATCTCGACATCTTATATACCTAGAGAATTTGTCAAGTAATAAAGTGATTGTTAACCATTAGAAAAGCATGGCCCGAGCATAAAAACCAAACAAACATGCCATTGAGGTTGTATCAAAGGTTCAATAATATCCCCAGATCTTGAGCACCTGGCAACCCTCATTTCATTATCGATCCTTTTTCCTCGATAATACCCTAATTCTTGAAGTCGACATATGATATCCTTACGAGCGTCAAATCTGTCTTTATTCTGTGAAGTTAATGAAATTAGGCGAATGATCATTATTTAAGATCATTTTTTAAAAGTTGGAAAAGATTATATATTTGATCACTACCATTAAAGTTGAAATTCCGCAATTTTCATTCAACGTTCCATCTTTGTTAAGTATGTTTACTATTGGTAACCGATGCCTTTTGGCACACGCATAGTCATCGAAATCATGCCCAGGCGTCACCTATAATGTATCAAACTTTCAATTATGATTTCTGACTTTTCAAGTCGTAAACACACATAAACAAATACCTTGACAACTCCCGTCCCGAAGCTCGTATCCACAAGCTCAGGATCACATACAATAGGAAGCACTCTATTCAATAAAGGATGAATAACCGATTTCCCATGTAATGACTACAAAATAGGAATATTCATTTGGTAATTTATTAAATCAAATCTGTCTGCAAATAAAAACCTACTTTATATCGTGGATCATCAGGATGTATCGCCAACGCAACATCCCCTAATATAGTTTCAAGTCTAGTCGTTGCCACGACTAATTCTTTGATATCCCCGCATGGTTCCACAATAGGATAGGCAAAGTTGTGTAAAACCCCAAACTCCACTCTGATCAATTTAATACGAAAAAATTATTTGCCATGAAAATTTAATTATCACATAACGAAATTGTAAACTACTTTTCATCGCGACCAGGAATGTCTAGAAATGTTTGTTTTGAAATAGTTTCATAATCTACCTTTCGATATAACAATACATTATTTTCTAATGTCAAATTAAAAATTTCGAGATAGAACAATGTAGCTTACTTCGATATCAGAAATCACGGTTCCCAAGGCACAACACCAATTTACAAGCCTCGTGTCCCTATAAATCATTCCATCATTAAACAGTCTTATGAACGCATTTATGACAGCCTTAGATCTCTGAGAATCCATAGTAAAAAATAAATTGTCCCAATCCAACGAAGCCCCTAAACGTCTCTTGTTTTTTAAAAAGATTCCATTATTGATGCACTCGAAACAGAATTTAACGAATGGGTAGACAGAAATTTTAGTATGACTCGTATACCATTTGTTTGATTATTTGATCGCCATGAAGTTTACGCCATTCCCAGACTTGTTTTATAAAGTTTTCTCGGCCGATATCGTGGCGCGTAAGCTATTTTTTAGTAGTAATATTATTAAGACTTTTCTTGAAGCAATCAGTTGTGTCGTGGATATAGAAATTCTTACTGATTTTTCTTTGAAAAGATGCCTCTCCACTACGGATTGCGTTCCAATGCCCGCGTGGTCAGTACCAGGAATCCAAGACACAGAGTAACCCCTCATTCTAAACCATCTTGCTAATGAATCCTAATTTTACATCCACAAATATCTTCAATTTCCTTTTTAAAAAATCAAGTTTTGAGATAAAAGAATAATCGACACCTGAATACTAAAAGTCAATGCATGACCGATATGTAAATCCCCGGTAACATTTGGAGGAGGTGACAGCATTGTGAAAGTTTTTTTAGGATGCTCATCCATTCCCTCTTTTGTGACTCCTTTAGCCCCGAAAAACCCTTTTTCAAAAAAAGAATAGAAACTTCTTATCTAATTGCTTATTGGAACATTAAATAGCCCAACAACAATGTTCCCACCTTTATACTCCCACCATTCATACCATCCTTCTTCAACCTTGGCCTAAAAAACAAATTTCAAGCATAATAAACAAATCGCAATAACCAGAAACTCAAGGTAGCAAATGAAATCATACTCACTGGATCATATTGCTTAGCCAAAACTCTCTTTGGCTTTAAAGGTGCTTTTCCATTTGAAGTCTTAATAGAATCATTATTATCTCGATTCTCCGCCGTCGAACTTGAATATCCTCTCGCCAATTTAGGGATTACTTTCCTTAATATCGAATGATGCGACATTAATTGTGAACCTGTGGCCAACCTTTGTTGATGAGTGAATGATCTTGGACGAGACAGCTTAATAAATCGATCAGAGGTGTTATGACTACATCGCATTAAACTGTGTCGTCTAGTTAATAATATAGCAATCATGTTTAGAAGACTATCCGAGAGTGGATGAAAAAAAATTTTTAACGATCATCCGAATCTGGGATGCATTTATACACCATCGATGTAACAAAATTACCATCGATTAAAGAAAACTTTTTTTGTCACATGATCTTTCTTGTCGGTCAAATATAATAAAAATTTCCTCGAGTATTACGAAAGTCGAAATCGTGCAAAAAAGTAATTGCATAAACTCGTATTGACATTTGCATCCAAAGTGAAGTAAAGCTTCTAGTTGTTGCGAGTTGTTCGATTATATATTGAAGGCAGCCGTGACTTTTTCTATAATTTAAACTTTTTAAGACGTGGCATTAAGACCAAGCGCTTTGAAAGGGTTCGCTTATACGCTGACTCAAAAAATTGTTCCGATAATTAAAACCTTTTTCGTTTACAATGTATATCTTTTGAACGATTGATTTAATAAAAAAAAAGAAATGAATTTAACTATAGATGCGTATTTATTTATTTGGCCTCTCACGGTGATGACTTATCAAATATTTTACTATAAATTACGCAATATATTAGAAAGATACTGCGTATAAATAAAATTGATTTGCAGTATTGTTTTTTTATTGCTTCGCTTATATATTATTTTTAAAACAATGAAACATCTTTCTAAACAAGAACGTAAAGATATTATTTCTTTGATTTATCATGAATTATCTACAAGAAAAATTGCTACTCAACTTGGTATCGATCATAGTACTGTATGAAGAATTCATCAAAATATGTTCTGATATATCAAAATCATTAGCTGGCCATCCATCTTCTTTAAATCATTAACAACAGAATGCTATACTGTTCAGGACAGGACAAGCAGATATTAAAACATATAATATTACCGTTATAATACAGTGAGTCTGTTATAATATACTTTTAAAAATGGGTTGAAATTAATTACCAAAAAAATAAACCAAATTTATTGCTTCATAATAATCAATGTCAATTACTACGTATGCTAATCCTAAAAATATTATTTTTCCATATGACAATGACTCAAAACATTCTACAAAAAAAAATTTAAAAAATTATTAGAAGATAATAAAATATTGATCGTTTTTTAAAAAAGCTTTCATATAACACGAATATGCCTAGTGACATGAACTTTGAAAATGAATTGAATAAGAATGGAATAAAGTTTATATTGAGAAATATATAGAAAACTTATTGATATTATGTTAAACAAAAGGAAGTTATACAAATTATTAAATTTATTAATTAAATTTAATAAAAAAATTGTACCAATAAACTTAAAACTTTATTTGATTTTTAATAATTTTATTAATAAATAAAATATTGTTTAAAATATATAATCAATTAATGATATATTCGTAAATTTTTTCAATCAGTTGTAGTAGCCAGACTATTAGAATTCATCTCCACGGGTCTCTATAAATAGATAAGTCACACTCCGCCTTGAACAAATTATTCATTAAACTGCCTGAAGTACTCGTTATAGTTTCATTTGGTTGGATATGCCTCAAATGTCATACGTACTTTATTTTATGAACCCCAAGAGATAAATCAATTCATCCACGATAAAAATTATTTTTATCAACGTCGTGGTTATAGAACGAATGTTAGCATGTTAATCATTTAAGCGGAGTAAACCCCAGCGCTAAGTCACCTTGGCTCAGATGTTTCAGAAGGATGCCGCGAGTTGCGTTGTGATCCCGTCAATCTCAAAATTGCATGTAACCTTTTGCACCACCAAGATTGTCCTTTATGTCTAAGCAATTCCCGCACGTCTTGAATGTGTAATGTTCATCACAATCAACCGGGTATTCTTCGATCTTATGCGCGAGATGATATCGGAACTTATAATGCGACCATGCCAATATCATCCTCGCGATCTTGATCTTGATCTTTCGATTGAATTTCTTTTTAAAATTCTGATATCATCAGACTCTTGGTTCTCGAGTCTTGAGTCTTTCTTTTTTTTTTTTCTCGCCATGTTTTTGGTTTCAAATCTTGGAAGAATGGTATTGAATCCTCACATAATTCCTTTGCGATCTTGTGATGGAAATCTTTTACGATATTCTTGATCTTATCATGTATCTTGACATATTTCTCCTTAGCGTGTACCTTTTACGTTTATTAGACCTACCCTTGCTTTTTATACCTCACTTTAATATTTATCATATCTCTTGCATAGCCTGAAAACGTGCTCAATGTCTCCTTTACCCCATTCAATCATCTTTCCATTGAGATCATATCGTGCGCACGCCAGGATCGATCGAGATGAAATTATTATCTTCTCGATAATTTATTCCAACGGTACGCACACACAAATATAGAATCGACCCAGTCTGTCTCGTGATATCAATGGCATTTTTTGAGGTCTTGATATGCTTAAGAAACGCATATTCGCCTTTTTTTTTCGTATGAAATTCATTATTTCATTAGTAATTGTTTGTGGTTGATATTTTTTGATTTTTTCTTGATCGTGAATTTCTTATTCGATTTAAGGTTTGCATCGTAGGTTTTACCAATTTGGACAGCGCACGATCGCGTACACCAGAAGGTGTCTCCTTCACCCAAGCATTCTCAAGTTGATAGTTATCGTTATTAATCACTAGTTTTCTCAAATATATTTTAGTTCTGTGCCCTTCTCTTATCAGATCGAGACACCGATTGTATGTCCATCGATACGTTCGCATCCACCTCTTCAACTTTTCTCTTTCTTGATCGTTGGGATACATGCGGATCTTGCGCGTCTTCAATTTCTTGTCTTGATGCTTGCGGCAGTCCTAAGGCCATTATGTCTGGCTGACAATAGATAGCAGATTGCAAGTTCGCCTGTGTCTGGATCTGTTGATTCAACATCCGTACCAAGAACCACAATCGTCACAATCGGTCCTTGCGGGTAATCATAACTTCCTCGAGATTTCTCGCGTACACTCATTCTAAAATCGACACGAATTCTCGTCGTTTCCAATTGAGACCAGACCCGACGTCGGTAACGACCTCATGATCAAGAATTTATAAGTGATGTGTGCACGCTGCCTTCCAAGGCCATCTTTCAGCTTTTCACTGAATGCCCGTGCATAACAAGGTTTTTTCTTTTGCGCATTCTCCTTGTTAAACATTAGGTCGATGTCCGTACGGAACACAACCATTTTTCACCTAGCATGGTGACGCTCGAAATATCTTCACGTTCGCTCCATCTACGAAGAGTGCTTTTAGATATTCCATAATTATTCTGTATCTTGTGGCAGGTTGGTAATTCATGCGTGTCGTTTCATGTTTTTTTATTAATATTTTTTTGCACGATGAAGCCTTTTGATAGTGACAAGAAAGCTTTTTCGCGACCTTTCATATGATATATGGACCCACCATGACGAAAATGTACATGCTACGAAATGAAACGGAATGAAACAAAATGATGAATATACGTTGTTACAGTACATGACATATTCCTGTATCATGTAAAACTCACCATGCAAACATTACGTATTTCAAAAAATTTAGGATACCTATTTAGTATCATATGCTTGAAAGTAAATGTTGGATTTTTGTTTCACCTGCAATAATTTTTCTCTACAGGTACATAACAAGCTAATCAATTTCCCTTTCACACGTAAAAGCTAAATTCCACGTGATGCACGAATCGTTGATAATCATTCACACGTCAGTAAAGTATCCAGTTCTCATCACTGCCAATTGTGTTTGATTTCTCTTTCTCGATTCAATACTGACATATACAGTGTATATATAGAATTCACTTGGTAAACCTCGTGTTTCGTAAATCCATCTTATAAGGTATTTACTTTTTAAAATTATATCTAATGGCATCTGTGAATGAAGCTCAGATCTTTCGGGAAAATGCTTAAAACGGGCGATGTGATACTCGCCTTTTAACTTGTGATTTGATGTTTTAATTTCGATCCATTTACGTATTTAAATTATAACTCGAAGAGAGTATCTACCTTAACGCAAAATGTAGGTTCAATTCTCTCTGAGGGAGCTAATTTAGGTATCACGCGAAACTTAGGGTTTGAGATACCCAGAAAAATCCTATATTTATGAAATTTATATTTGAAAGATGTAAAGTGACTCGTAAATTGTTTCTCCTATTGCCATTGGTCGAAACTACATCCCTTATCATATATTAGAAAATAAATTTCTAAACGAATGATTACAACCATCTTTTTTTTTTTTTTTAGAATATTGTTATGAATGCGCACAATGAAATTAAGGTCCGAGGTAAATTCGTGTTGTCCTTTTTTATTATCTAGTTATGACAAAATTCAAAAATTTTTAACCTACTTTATTATAAATTGATCAAAGAAGAGGACGACGATGTAATGATTATCGAAGATACAATAGCTGGCGAAAAAAACCCTTGGTCTGATGACATTGATACTTGGGAACCGGAAAGATATGAAGTAGAGAATGTATTATCAAGAAAATGGGAAAATGTAAGATTCAGGTGTAAACCTCGTTACCGTAATAAGATTTTCGTTTCTTAAAATCTGCTTTTGCTTAACAAAATATCTCTAGGGTCGAGAATTATTTCTGGTACAATGGAAAGGGTATTCGAAAGACACGTAGGTTACTAATGATTTTTGGATTTCAAGCTACAGTATACAGAATTGATTGCCGATGTGTTACTTTCTACATAAATCATTCTTTTAGTTGGGAACCCCGGGAGAACCTCGACAGTTGCCCTGAGCTCTTGGAAAAATTTTTCCAAATGGCCCAGGAAACAGAACTCATTCCTCAGGTCAATGTAAACACTTGTAAAAATTACGAAAACATCTGGAGGATTGGCCCTGAAGAAAAAAGATTATTTCAGGAAAATTATAAAATGGGACAAATGTTTAACGAGGATGTGTACAACAAGCTAATACTCAAGAAATGCGGAGAAAGAGAAAGAAGAATTAATTATAGTGGTAAAGATAGCATCGCGGAAGATTATAAGATTGAGGATGTACCATTGAGAGTAGATAAGGAGAAAAGAAGGTGATGTCTGCAAACATCAGAGATGAATCGATGAGATTAGATGTAATTTACGATTTGCACTTTCTATAACCGCTGCAGTTGCCGTATACATTAATGGCATATGTTTTTTTTTTTTTTGAAATAAAAATTCTGCTCAATCAACTTTAAAATATGATATCTAGTCATGTTATCATGCTTCATTCGGTATGAATCGAGATATGAATATATTTCTATTTTTTCTTAAGGCAATTCTTATTGCAAAAATTTACGAAAATAAAAGAATTCGCGTCCTTCTCATCAAATTATTAAGTTGTTTGTTTTAGTATGATCAAATATATAATCAAAAATTTTCAACTTGAATAATTTTTCGATATTTAAGAAAACGGTTAGAATTCTTCTTAATTTATCTTCAAGATAAATTATTCGTACATGATTCACGCATGGAATACGAAAAAAACTTATTTCATTTGTTAAGGACCGGTAAAAGTGATCGCATACTTGGACGACCCAAAGAAGCGATCAATGAGTTCTTTATTAACTATTCCTGTAATTCATATACCATGTTTACTTTCAAACGCAGGATACATTTAACAGCAAAACTAATAATCGAATATGCAGCAAGCTCTATTTATAACATACTTTTACATGTCATGATTTTTAAAATTATGACCTTCACTAGTACTGATACGCAAAGAGGAACTCTTCTCGAATTCCAACTTGATTGAATCCGGAAATTACAACGTTAGATGATTTGTTATGATACAAGTAACCAGCGAAATGTTATAAGCTTATCATGTTTATAAAAAGGAAATTATTGTTTCCATTTCTATTCGTCTATCTCCAATGCAAAGTGCCAGGCTTTCAATCATTATTTTACTTTAAAATACGTAAACATTAAATAGCAATTGCGTTTAACTTACAGCGTGCCTTTAAGAAAAGCATTATATTATTATACGTAATAAGAATAATGAAACTAGTATAATAAATATTTTTGAGAATTATATTAATTTAATAAAATCGGTCTAAACATTTTATTTACTTGAAATTGTCTGTTGGAACAAACTGAATAGCTACTAAATAACATTTTTCTTGAATATCAGCTTACTTTTTACACATTGCTGTTTTTCTATATTGAATTTTATGAAGATTAAAAGCAACTATTTTTTACGCTTATAGTATTGAAAAACTTTTATTTTTAAGTAATTTTAAGAGTTGACATAATTAAAAACTAAAGATAATTAAAATACTTTAAATCAAGGTTTTTTAAAAAACAAACTAAATAGAAAAAAGAAAGCAAACAGGGTTTCATATAATAAAGAGATTTTTTTAAAAAAATGATAAAATGATAAACATATATGTTTTCTTTAAAAAATTGCATTTTACTTTGTATAATTTTTAAATTATATGTAAATAATTTTAAAAATAAATTATTATCAAATTTTTTTAAACTTTATAATTTTTTTTAAAAAAAAAATAAATTGTACTTGTATATATTATATATATATTGATTTATGATATTAAAAACATCTATTGTATAAAAAATAAAAAGTTTTAATATTCAATATTTTAATATATTTTTTTAAAAAATATTTTTAGATTAATAAATTATAAGTTATCAAAATTTCAACCTAAAAATTATTTATTAAAAAAAACAAATTATCTTTAAATTATATTTTAATTAAAAATTAAATATTTTAGTTCAATATTTATAAAAAACACATATAATAAGTTATTCTTATATAAATTAAATTAAATTTTTAAATAGTTTAATACTATATATGAAATTTTACAAATTAATTGTTTTTATTGAAAAAACATATTATTTATTTATTATTTAATAATAACAAAATTCAAAAAACATTTAAATTAAATAATTTAAATTATAAAAAAAAAATTTATAAATAATTTTTTTTGATTTTATATTTAAAAAAAATTTTTTAATAAAAATTATTTGAATTTGTTTTTGTTTTTTATTTAAAAATCTATCTTTATATATAAATTAATAATTATTATAAATATTTTATATTATACCTAATTAATTAAATTTAAATAAATAAAATTTGTTAATTAAAAATTAAAATAATTTAGTTATAAAAAAAAATTATAAAAAAACAAATTTCTTGTTTAACTTTAATAAATATTTTAATAATCAAAATCAATAAAACAAATTTTCAAAATAAATAACTTTGTATTATATGAAAAAAATTTTAAATACTTATAAGATAAAAATATATTAATTTTTAAAAAAAATTTAAATTAAAAAATAATTTATTTATTCTTAACAAACTTTTTAAATATTTTTTAAGAGGATTTCCCTCATAAGTAAATATCATTTCTTTATTTGATATTATATATAACAAAGTATATATTATAAAAGAAACAATATCTCTTTCATTATTTCAGAAAAGTTTAATGCTAACTTGCCTATTTAGTTATTACCTAACTAATATTGTAAAACAATTCAAAAGCAATATTATATTGCTAGATAAAGCTGAGTAGCAGCTATATCTATCAACTCAAAAATTTTATGAATTCTTTTGATTTTTTGGATATATAATAGTTAAATGAAAATAAATATAACTATAACTAAAACTATATCAAATAAACTATAAAATCTATAAATAAAAAACCAATTATTTCCCTAAGAAAACCTCTGGACAGGATCATGATCCCATCTTTCCAGCTTTTTAATTACTATAAATAATAATGTATACATGAAGTTGTTTGTTGTTATAGTTGTTAATAGACATATAATAAATGTTATTGTTATAATAATTATTATAATTGTTGTTATGATACAAAATCAGTTTGAACAGATTTAGTTTTTGTTTTGATTTTTAAATAAAATCTAATTGGATAATTGGAAAGTATTAATCATCTGTAAGGGGTAAGCTAATTTCAGTTTTTTGGCCAAAAAAAAATATTGAAAAATTTGGGATAGTTCAGTAAATATCACCATAATAAAATAAAATTTATAAGTTGACTTGAAATAAAAATAGACTTACTAACTCTGTTTGAGTATGTATTTTGGAAAGTATTTGTTATAGCGAGTATAATGGTAATGATGTGAATAGTTTTTATAATAAAATAAGAGTAAAGAGAAATTAAAGAGAACAAAAGAATAGAGAACTACTATAGGCCTTTCCTTATACAACCAAAGAATAAACAAGACTTCCAAACTTAAATAGACTTTAACCAAAAGTCCTATTTCACCACATCAGTTGTTTTGAAAATTTTTGAATTCTTAAGCTAAGGTTCACTTGCGATAAAAAGTATAAAACATTTTCTTGCTTAAAATTATTATAAAAGAAAAATTTTTAACAAAGCAGATGCAATCAGATGAGAGTTTTTTAAATTTTTAAATATTAATTATAAATAAATAATTTTTAATATAATATTATGATTTATATTAAAAAAAATAATAATTATTATTATATTTATAACAATTTTTTTGTTTTTACTATATCACATGCCATGTAACTAGAAACTTCTGGGGCATCCTGAAATATCCCAGAATACTGTGAAACATTTCAGAACTTCTTGAAATCTTGTAAAACATTCCAGAACCTCCCAGAATATTATTAATTATTTATTATTAATTATTGTGTTTATTATACTTATACCTATTTGAAAAACAGAATATTATTAATAAGCATGTATAACATTTATTATATTATTAATAAGCATGTATAACATTTATTATATTATTAATAAGCATGTATAACATTTATTATATTATTTTTTATTTATTTTACATTTATGATATATAAGATCTTTCAGAAGAATCAATAAGAACTTATATATTAATAATATGTATTTTTATTTATGTATTTTTATAGATTATTTATATAACAGATAATAGTTATTTAAAGAGAATCTTTTTATCTTTGTAATAATTCAGATTGTATTTTTGTCTTTGAGTTAATAAAATAATTATCTCTCTTAAAACTTGTGATTTTATTTTTGACTTGAATATAACTTATTGTTTAAACTATTATGATACATTTAAACTCTTACAATATCTTTTGTAATTTATTTGTAAAAATTTAAATTTGTATTATGAATAAAAATTTTTTATTTATAAAAAATATAAAATTATAAAAAAACAAAAAAATTTTTATTATTTAAAAAAAAATATTTTTTTTTTGCAATATACTTTTCAAATTTTAATCTTTATTTAATTTTTATAGAAATAATTTGATATAAAATTTATAATAATAATAATTAAAGATCTTAATGATTCAATTCAATTTGATTATAATACATTTATACAAAATCAAGAGAAAAATGAAGTATATGACTATATGTATTAGCTTATTACTATGAACAAATAAATATATTATCTAAAAAACCTTGAAACAAGAAAAACTTGAAAAACTATTTGTTATAAAAAAACAAAAATAAAAAAAAATAAATAAATAAAATTTTGAATATAATCATTATTTGGAAAGTTTAAGAAAAATATATAATTATTGTAATAAATATAATTGCAGTAGTATTTTTATTATATTAATTATACAAGTTTTCATATCTAATTTTTTATTATATAATTGTTGCTAATTATACAAATTAATATAATTACATTTTAACAGTTTCTTATAAAATCTTAATTAAAAACAAATATATTGTTTTAAACAATATTGTTAAAAAGGTTTTTATAAACAAAATAGTATATAAAATATATAAAAATAAAGTTTTTTTATAATATATAACATCTCAAAAAATAACAAATATTTTTGTTTTCTTTTATTAGATTATTTTTTAATTTGTAAATTTTTAATATGAAAAATAAATTATTAGTTACATTAAAGTAAGAGCTTTTAACAAAATACATTCTCAAAAGAATTGTACATTATAAATATAACAGAAAAAAAATCAAAAAAAATAGTTTTTTAATATATAAATCACTTATCTTTTATCTATTTAATTTTGTTTTTAAAGATTCTTTTTATAGTTTAACCTATTCATTCACAATCTTAATAATTAAATAATATTAAAGTAACTTTATATATTTCTTTATTTTTT